TCGGAATATCGAGAAGAATGGGGGATGCGATCACATGACCTGTACGTATACTCACTGCCTTATGGTCGAGCTTTCAGAGGCTGAAACAAACTAGGCTCGGTATGCTATTATGAATTCTGTTGGGAATGTCTTGCATCTTTCGATGCGATCAGAACCCAAGGAAATTCAGCTCATATGGAGAGTTGCGAACATCGTTCCAGTCCATGGTGATGAGGATCATATAATTACGAATTTCATTTTAGAAAATTGGAGGGAAATGCTGAGGAAAACTAGCCGAAGAGTCGCAATGAAAATGGCATACCCGATTGATTGCTATGAAATAATTCCACTGCAGTTCCCGAGAAGCCTGGATAACAGAGTCCGCATGTTGTTGACACGGGAAATTTACGTTCCAGCTCCAGAGCAATGATCAGGTCCCATCGGGGTCATCATCAGTGTCCTCGGTGATATACATTCTCCTGATCACGCAACTTGTGTTTTTGTTACCATATAGCTACGCTAATCCTTTTCACTGTTGCCAGTAGCCCACTCTATCGACGTAGAAAAGTCTTCTTCTGCCTGGGCGATAATTCCAAGAGCATCCCAAATACCTCTGTCGATCCCAGCATCGTAATGTCTGCACGGGACACTGTTCAGCTTTTTGCGGATGATATGTAAACTTGGGTACTCTTCCAGTATCCAGATGCCAATAGCAAACATGTTCTGTGCATATTCAGCGTTGGAATCATGTTGGTAGCTAGCCGCTTCATAGTACTTCAGCAGGCTGCATGCCACTTTATTATGTGTAAACTTAATACAGTTTACTGCACTTGCTATAGAGTCGCCTTAATATTTGATTTGTAATTATTGCAATGCTCTCTTACCTAGTAACAGATGAAGTCCTTCTTCTTCTTCTTTTTCTTCTTCCTGGAAGAAATATCCAGTATCAATGCGATAATGCAAAAATATGTCACGTAGAAACTGCCGGAGTTTTGCAACGCTAAGCACTTTTGCTACCTGTAGAAGATGGGTTATCTGCTTTGTTGACAGCTTGGCGGGCTCTAAAGTCTGAACGATCCAGCAAAATTCGGCCAACCCATAAATTTGGGCAGTGGCTTTGATCTGATATCTTTCAATGATCTCTACTAGCTTTACGAGTCCATATGTTGAGATATCTGCCTGAGGAACGAAAATGCCGTGGGCTGACTGGCAGATGCGGAGGAAAGTGTCAGGATCTTCTGAGAGAGACACTTCATCGCCAGCGCAGAGCAATTCTTCGAATTTACTGGACAGTGTGGACATTTTCGTAGAAGAAACTTGAATTTTATAGCGGCCCACTATAACATGTACATCGCCTTTATCGTCGACTGGGTGATATGTTAAGGACATGATTGAAAAGTTCGTATTGATCCTTTGAGAATGTCCACTCGTCGAACTATATACTTGGAACTATATAGTTGTTGGCCTGCCACTTTTTTCTGAGGCTGATAGTCTAGGCACCTTTTTTATTCTTTACTGAAGGAAGTGAAGCGGCTTCTGTAAATAATTACATGGTAGTCGTTCGTCTACACAGGTAGCACTCCCTGACAGGAGGCTAATGGCTTTTGTCGTTGGTATCTCGCCCATCAGCTCTGGTCTCAAAATTTGTAAAGCGCACCCAAACCACTGTGCCTCTGCCATACTAAGTCTATTGATACTTTACTTGTGTTAGATTATGTCAAGGTACATAAAGCTTTTATACTTACTCTTTGAGTTTTATTGGTTTTAATAGTTGTTTAATGTTAAGGTGGCTTAAATCTAATGCTGGACTGAGGGTTTCTTGCCCGGGGAACAGCAGTAGGATCTCGGGGTTTAGATGTTTTTGTCCCTGCAAAACATAGTGCATAATTTTGCCAACGTTGAGATATGCTGCCATCGCATCCTTAACTTCGTGCTCCTCTCTCTTGTAAATTTTGCAGACGTCTCGGACAAGTGCAAGCTTTATCATATAAGAAGTTTTCTGGGAACGCTCTTTAGCCGTTAGGGACGAAAAGACCTGCGAAATGTAGCTAGTCTCTGGGGTTGAAGGTAGTTTGCTTAGACCTTTTTTGTATGTTTCGGTACGACAATGGGCAGACTGGTGATTTCTTTCCGCCCGGCCTAGTGTTTTCTTCTCTGCCCAATACTCTACCATATTTGAGTAGGTCTGGTAGTAGCAATACTGGATATAGCGATTCCTTGCAGTTTGAATTTGGCTTTTCCCTTTCTGGTTATCCAAAAGATTATGTATGTGCACTAGGTGAGTAAGTCCAGGCTCAAAGTTCTGGTCCTCATTCACAGGCTCAGTAAGGTCTGATTGGAGTGAACGAAGAATGCTCTCAGATCCAATTGCATGTATGCACTGAAGCATACGTAAGTACCGCCTTTGAGAAATAGTTTCAGGGACAATCGAAAGTGCTCTTTCTAGGTATTCATGATTAAATGCTTGAATAGCTAACTGATCACTACTGATTTCTTGATAGTTATAGGGAAGTAGTGGAGCATATAGATCTCTGTTCCTGAATTCAAGGCTGAAATATGGAACACGTAAAGTTTGTAGAACCTCCCTAGCTTT